CTTTTAATTACCATGCGACACAGCACAAATAAACAAAATTATATATGCGTGTATTCACCAATATACATATATATATATATATATATATGCGTGTGTGCTTGTGTGTGTGTATTCTCATATGGCGTCTGTGATTTTGGAAAGTGAAAGAAACATTTGCTCCCAATAAGTAGAGATGCGTTTTGAAGAATCCGAATCTTGGTTTTGGAAAATTAGGAGTTTGATGAAGTAATCAGTATTGATTCTTTCCAACATATATAGAAGCCAAAGAGCATACTTAGAATAGGTTCCCGCTACAAAAATAATATCATGATACTTCCCTTTCAGTTTATTTGTTTAGACATTAGCTATCTGCATATACGCACATATCTATTTATTTTTCTTTGAGGTTTAATTGTAGCCCAACGGATACCAAACACCTTTCTTAAGACTGTCTTGAATGTGAAGCTGTGAGTTTTTTTTTTTTGGTCACATAAATGAGTGAGAAAGTAGTCAACCAAATCCATCCACTGAAGTGCCGTTGACATGTTAGGGATTCGTACAAATTAGCAAAAGTCTAACTTTGAAAGATTCTAGAGTAGGTTTAAATCATAGTTAAGTATTTTTTAGTTAAAAATTTAAGTGAGTTGAGTGATGGTAAGGCCTTGTGAAGATCAAGACGTTTTCGGAACCAAAGAGTGTCAAAAAAAATACTTAAAATTACTCATCAACAAGATCCTCATATTGGTAATAAAATTTAAACCAACAACTTTGTAAGTTTTTACCTACTGGACTAACTTTTGTTGGTTAATGGAGTACAATTACTTAATTAGTCTATCCTGTTCATTGAGCTTCGAGAAAGAGTTTTTCTTCCCCCCCCCCCAAAAAAAAGAGGATATCACCAATGTAGGATTTTAGATGACTCTAAGAGCAACAGATCCTATGGATTGAGACAAGTCTTCTTCTCCTTAATTACCCTTAAATTTTATTTATGTTTACGATAAACATGCAATTTCTGAAAATGTATAATGATCTGCACTATATATATACACATACGTGTTTATATGTGTATAAAACAGAACAAGAATCAATGGGAATGATGTGTTATGCACAACACAATCACCATCACAATATTCCAGTAATGAATGGAATTAAGTATCAAAACAAGAGATCAGATAGAGGGAATTAATGTGCCATATATATTCACAATGGAGTATTAAATTCCATAACTATTAGTGGAATGAAGCATCACATGCATGCTCTTCAAAATAGTGGACAAAGATTATATTCCCTCAAATCATTTAATAGCACTTTATTATTGAAATACACACACACAAAAGCTATATATGGATTGTATTTGCTTTATTATATGTATGTATATATGATGGGTCAACATGAACTCTCCCTAATTTTAATTATGTCAGATAAAATAAAGAATGGACTAGGAAATGTACTGAGTCGGATCTCGAGTCGGGTCGGTTGAATCCTTTGAGTTCATACTATAAGCTAGACTAGGAAAGTCTAAGCTGAGTGCACCACAATGCACCTCTTTGCAAGAAAAAATAAGAGAGAGAAAGAGAAGTAGGAAAACTTAACTACTGGAATGAATTGAAATGAATGGTGAAGGCTTCTATTTATAGCTTTGGCTAGGGATATTTTGGAAAGTCAAAATATCCACTAAGCCCATCAGTTTGAATTTGAATTTGGATATTTAAATATATCTTTGACTTATAATATTATGATTTTTTAATTTAAATCCAGAATCAATCATAATCAATTCTAATATATATATATCTCTAATATATATTTAATCTATACAATATAAATTAATTAAATTTATATCGTAACCGATTAGATTTGATTCAGGATGTTTGACCAAATCAAACATATCATAATCTTGTTTGGATATTTGACTGTTATATTCTCTCAATATCCAGTCAAATAGTCTAGTCTATTAAGAGTGGGTCCAAGCCCAAAATCCAACAAATTATTTTGGTTCATAAGTCATAATTATTAATAGGCTGACCATTTATGTTTTATACATTTTTAAACAAATTAAATAAATTATTCCTAACTTGAAATAAATGTATGTTCCTGCAGCAATCTCAACTATGGCCTCTCATCTCGAGTTTGCAGATTCAGGGTTGTTTAAAGATTTTTTGGTGGAAGCTGGTGAAGGGTATCTCCCCTGCAATGTCTTTTTTTATTTTCTCGACACTTATCCACTCAACAGGTTTGTCTTTTCTGCCATGACCAGAATGAAACCTTGGAGCATCTCTTTCTTTGTTGCCTGTTTGCGAAGGTTTGCTGGTTCAGCAGTATTTTAGGATTGAAAGTTGATTCCCATCCTTTGTGGTCCTTGCTACATTAATTGGCTCATCTTTTGGTTTAATTTTGGCTCTAGCCACAGTGATTTTGTTTATGTCCTTCCATTTCATTCGTTATATTCCTTGTGGTCTGCCATGCAGGAAAAAGATTTTGTCTTACCCAGGTCATTGCAACGCCTATGTCTCAACAAGCAAGTGCGGTTCTTAGTGCTTCCCCTTGCATGATGCACATAGGAATCAGAAATGGTCTTCTTCATCTCGTCCTCACTTGTTGCTTCCGTGGAGTGTGCTCTTCTCATGGAACCGACAGCAGAGGCGCATTCATATGCAAATTTTCAATTGACAAAACGAGATGCATAATTTGTCCCTTATATCAGTAGTAACCTTGGGGTAATTTCACATGCAATTGCTGGCTCTCCGTCAAGCTCTATCTTACAGCTTAACTTGTCTCGGCCCTTCCTTTCCTTCTTCTTGTGTTGTACTACATCCGCTCCTTAATATAAGAGCTCCTTTGACTTTTATTTTAGTCCTAAATATAAGACCTTAATCCATTTTGTCTCTGATATTTATTCTTTTTTTTTTTCAAAGTAGTCTTTGTAATAATGGTAGTTCTAATCAATACACTTGATTAGCAAAGATATTTTAGGAAAGATAACACCTATTTATTACAAATAACTAACTTAACTAGTTTTCTTAATCTACTCACATTAGTCAACTAGTTTTTATATTAAAAAATGGAGGTAATATATATCAAACTTGTTAAGCGTACTCCACAACCATCAGTCAGTATGCTGGTGCTCTAATTACCTACCTGTTGATGTCACATCTCTCCTTCACTCTTTTTTGTGTATTTATTTCCTTTATTAAAGCGCAATTTCTTTCTTATAAAGAAGGAGTTACTAATGACTTTTGATTAAGCTGGCAGGTAAACAACACAAGTGTCAATCATCACTCTCTTTCTCTTTTCTGATAGGCTAAAATATACATTTGGTCATCTTTGTTTACCCTCAAATTTTGGTTTTATTTCCTAAATTTAAAAAGTATATTTTTAGTCCTTTAATTTTAATACCAGTAGTCTCATTTAATGAAAAATGCTGACTCAGGAAATTAAAATAGTGACTTTGCAATTAAATGCTGACAAAGTATGCTCTAAATTTTTTTTGATATAATTATTTTTATATTTTAAAATTTAAGCATTTAAAGAATCAGATTTATGATAAAATGTTAAAAATTTAGGCATTTATAAAATAATCGTATTAAAAAGATGAAAATTTAAAGCGTGCTTTGTCAACATTTATTGCATAATCACCATTTAAATTTATTGAGTTAGCTTTTTTGGTTAAATTAGACTTTTTTTTTTGGGCTACGTATAAGTATCTTCTTATTGGAAGCAATCATAGTCGAAGCATTGTCGGATACTAAATGCAGGCACCTCTCCTAATGGAGATTCAAACTTATTGGTTAGCCACATTTTAAGGGATTAGTCCTTTCCACTAGATCTAACCCCTACTATTAAAGGAGTAAAACTTACACTTTTAAAACTTAATGGACTAAAGTGAAACTTGATTTAAATTTGAGGATCAGACGTATACTTTATCCCTTTTATGTATGTGTGTGTATATGGACGTAGGTTTAAATATTAAAAAATTAAATGCAATTTTTTCCAAAAAATTTTAAATTATTACATATATTGCACAGCGTGAAGGAAAAAGTTGGAAAAATTCACTATAAATCCATCATTGAAAATTGTTTAGAGAATGGTCTCCAGTAGGGTAGATTTATGCGTGTGAAGCACTTAGGTCCTTGAGAAGAAATAAAAGAACATTACAATCGGAAAAAAATACCCTTAATGAGTAATAAGTGGGAAAGATTGCATATAGGGAAGAATAAGTGCATACAAAAGAAGATGATTTGCACAAAGGAAAGATAGATTACACACATCATAATTTGAACACCAGGAAAGATGAACTATACACAAGCAAAGATGGATTATGCATTAGGAAATAAAATGAGTTGCATACAAGGGAAGTTAAGTTGCACAAAGAGAAGATTGTTTGTACATAATGTAATTTTAACACGAGATGTGCAAATAGCAAAGATGGATTGCATATAGGAAAGAATGATTATGTGGAATGATCATGTTGCACATAGAGAATAATGATTGCATATAGGGGAAGATGCCTTGCACATAAGGAAGATGGATTGCATAGAATGAAAGTTAAAGTTGCATAAATGAAATTTGTATTATATATAGCACAAAGGAAGTTATAAGTTGCACAAAAGGAAATATGATCATTAAGGGTAATGTAGTCATTCCATGTGTTTGTCTCTTAATTTCTCCTAAACGACCTTAGTGCTTCACATTATGTGAGAGACCATTCTTCAAATAAATTTTCAATAGGGGATTTACCGCAAATATTCACAAAAAATCTAATTAATTGATTGATAAAACTAAGGAGAGCTCTTGATAATTTTATGAAAACTAAGAATTCATTGTATTATTTTACTCTCTATACTTGTTTGTATGTTGTGTTATAAAACTCCACCACCATCAGCCTCGGTGGAGTCTGAATCAGATGTCATTTATACGTATATTCTTCCGCAAACAAAAAATAGACTACAAGAAAATAATTACTAATTAAGCAGAAGCAAGATGGACAATATAAGGAAAAAAAAAAACAAAGGAAAAAGAACAAGGAGATAGAAGACACATGTTTCTGCTTTTATAAACTGATGATATAATAATCAGTTGAAACTTTGTTGCAAAATTATGCAGCAACTTAATTAGATCATACACCAAACCAAGATCCCTTCAATTATGAAAGAGATTCAATAAAAACCCACCCAGAGAATAAAATAAAATCTCTGTTGATATTATTCCAAGCGGCTTAATTAATTACGTAATTAAGCTTCTGGCTCTTGGTTGGTACTGCGAGGCATGCTGATGAGAACTGATGAATTATTGTTGTTGAAGGATTCTTCTGCTTTCTCTAATTTTGCTGCATTATTAATTAATTGTTTGCCATCCGATGCAAAATTACTATTACTATTATTATTAATATTTGCATTCACTTTCGAGGCTTTCATTGATAAGGCTATATCTTCTGCTTCAGCCACTTTGCTTTCCACTCTCTCTTTATGCTTTCCCCATAAGACAGAGTATAATCCAATAACTATTAAGATGCTCCCAATCACACTGCACCCATACGCAAAAGTGAATTATTCTTCATTAGTAATAGGTCCAAACAAAAATAGAAAAATTAAACTTTAATTTTTTTTTTTCATTTACCAGAGAATTGAAGAGATGATATTCTCTCTATAATCCAAATGTACATAAAACTCTCTTGAAATAAAATGTAATAAATCAAATAAAATTCTTCTGAGTTCTAATGAAATCACAAATAATTTTTTGTTGTTTTAAAATCATTCACAAAAACAGTCCATTTTAAAAGAAAATTATTCACAAACTTTTCTTGAAAATAGAAGGGATATCCAACCAATAGGCATTGGTCCTAGCAGAGAAGATTTTGGCCTCTTAAGAACGAGGTCTTAAATTTGAGTTTGTGTTAATGCAAAAAACATGAGAGAGCTACCTCCAATTGAGCTTGACAATGATCAAATATGACCCAATTAGATAATCATATGAAAAAACAAGAAGAAGAAGAAGGATATGTAGCTTTCGAAAAACCAAAGGTTTATGAAATTTTGTTATTTGTGATAAAAGTTTAAGCGGCTTTTAAAAATATTATTAACGAATTATAATTTCCAGCAAAATTTAGAATATACATAGAGAGAGAGAGAGAGAGAGAGAGAGTTACCCTCCAAGATAAATTTTTTCAGCAAGGATGAAGGAGCCCATGATGGCCACAATAATCATCATCAAAGGGCTGAAGGCAGTAGCAAAGACGGGACCTTTCTTCTTGATCACCAGTCCTTGTATATAGTATGACAGGCTTGAGGTCACAATCCCCTGAAACATTATTACAAGGACATTAATTAATTAACTGTGCTATAATTATTCTTAACTAAGGACAAACATAGATATATTAATTATGGAGAGAATTTAATTTACTATTTATAAAATAAGATAGAACAAATTAATTAAGAAGAAGAAGTAGCTTAATTACAGCATAGGCGGCAGCAAGCAGGTTCATGTCGAAGCCAATCTTCCATACAGAAGGCTTGTGTTCCATCACAAAAGTAACAACAATTGCCTGAAGTGCTCCTATGAAGCATATTAGTGATGTTAGACTCAGCTGATGATTCTTGTATGTCTCCAATGCTTTTGCCTGTCCAATACCATTCATTCATCAATACCAAAACAAATGTTATAATTATAAATGAAATAATCCAAATTACTACTCCATTTGATCTTAAATGTGAGAACTAGCAAACAGCTTCGATTTGATTGCACTTTTCCTTTGTTAGGGTCTTATAATAACTAAATGACACGAAACACCTCCCTTGCAGCTTTCTTAAGCAAGAAGATGTGAGTTTAAACCCTCTACAAAATATATGACGGGTGTGTTTTTCCCTATATTCTCTATATATTATTTGCATATATATATATATATATATATATATTAAGGTGGTTGTTCATTAGAGGAGTTGGCTTTCATGCAAATAATTAGAAGAGATACTTCAGGAAAATCAACTTACATTTTTTAATAAATAACTAACTTAAGCTATTTTTTTTAATATTTATAAATTAATTATCTAACTCCTGCATTTAGATGAGAGAGAGAGTAAATGCTACCAACAATTGAGTGTGGTTTATGCTGTCTTACTTGTAAAACAAAAAGGGAAGCCCAGGCAAAAGTTGCAATGATAAGGAAGATGGAGCCAATGAACCATTGTTTGTCTGAGGAGGAGGAAGAAGAAGTTGAAGTGTGTTGGGTGGTGTGAGAGTGGGCATGTCTGGTCCACAACATCTCCACAACAGAACCTTTGTACAATGTCATTACCATGGCCCCAGCCACTGTCACTATGGTTCCCACCACCTTTGCTTGACACCTCACCTTCTTCATATTGATCTTCTCCATCCTACATTTATTAATTTCCAACCAAAAATTAGTTTATTCAAAATTTTAAATCATATGAACAAGATAATTAAATAATTTGTGGGATTCAAGTAAAAAGGTATAAAAAAGAGAAGGTGGTGGGCCCCACTTGTCAAGCGAGTCTCACCACTATCTTATTTTTCTCTAGTTGAGTGTTCTAGTTATCGGAGAGCTTTTTTTGTCACCGTAAATATCCAATAATAAGAATTTGTATTCTAGAGTAAAAATATATATGATAAATATTATTTGTTAAGATGGAGTTAAATCCTCCAGAAGTAGAAAGAGAGATAGACATAGAGATGGGTCCCACCTATCAGATGAGTCCTGTGTGGCTGTTTGGAAGCCATGAAAAAAAATACTTTTACATTTTAGAAGATAAAACTGTCATATATTTGCTTTATATATCTTAAAATCACTTAGACAAACTAATCAAGTTATGGTTAATTTAGTTACCGGCATAGAACTGCCATCACAAAAGTCATGGCAGGAAGTATGTTGCTCATTGCACAAGAGAAGGTTGGGGATGTGAATTTCAGCCCAGCATAGTAGAAATTTTGATCAATCACAGGTCTGTTGATGAAGAACAAAATAATATAGTTAATATTATGAGCAAAATGGTTAAATTTAATTATATCTATAGAGAGGAAATAAGGAACTAACCCAAGAAGAGCAAGGATGAAAATTTGCATGAATATTGGGAATGTTATCTTTGGTTGACCTTTCCTGCAACATTAAACCGCAAATACAAATATGAACAATTGAACAATTAAAATTTGCTCAAGAATAGTACAAGTACTATGTGTTGCATGGTGATATCTTAGGGAGATCAAGTCATGTTTATTATGATTAACTAATTCATCTAATTTTTTAACCTACCAAAATTAGTTAAGTAACTCTTATCTTAAAAACTAAAAGAATATGTTACATAGATGGTACGAACCTTTCAAAGATGAAAACAAAGGGAGCGATGGAAGCGGTTGCGAAGGCGTGCCGATAAACCACGAGGACATAGTGGCTCATGCCTTGGTTGAGTGAAACCTTGGTGATAATATTCATGCCTGCATATCCAAACTGCAAAGCAATCATGGCAATGTAGTGTTTTGAGCTCTCAAGGAACCTTCCACAACCTCCTCCAACTCCAAGCTTAGTCTCATCAGCCATTTCTTATACGCTAGTCCTTCTCTTTCTTTTGTAGAAGGAATTGCAGAATCAGGAGAAAGATGTAGAATTCTAGAGAGAGAGAGATCAGAAGGGAGATCAAAGTATTAAAGGAGGAACACACTTAGAGAAGCAAGTGTGTTAACAAAACCTTTGGAAGGCACTCACTATTTATATACCAAACATTGAACCATTTGTCTACGTCATTTTTATATCAACGTGTCTAATAAATTCCTCATAAGCCGTGTCTCTCTGTCTCTCTAGTGCTATATGATTCTTTTAAACACTGCTTCGTCTCACGAAATAAACCAAAACAAAAAGTTGGATGTGATGTTTTTTTAATCATCCTTATGAGGGTCTCTCTCCACTTGTCTATTTTTTCATTTCCATCCACTTCTTATATCAGTCATTAAGATTAAAATTTGAATGGTTCAAATTCCATATTTTCTAAAATAGGGAGAGAATCCAAATCCATACTCATTAAACTTCTTAATATAAGAGCTACTTAATAATTTAGATAGATTAATAAATTCAAATAAATTAGTTAATTACAATAAATATGACATATTCTCTTCAAAATGCCCTCTGATATAATTAACATTATATTATATATTAGTATAAGTTTGAAAAAATGATAAATATGAAAGATATAATGAATTATATTAAAGTCTTATATATTTAGAATTAAATCCAACTCACAACTAGCTCCGATGTTTGGGACTAAAAGTAATATAATTTTCTTATCATTATTTAATAATATTTGTTTTTTTTTTATATTAGGAGCACGTGTAGGAGTTATATTATATTCTACTCACACTACTTTTTTTGTTAACTTATTCTCTTTTCCATGATTCAAATTTATATGTTCATCCAACAATTAACAGTATATTATATCTATTTGGATTTTCTTCTTCCTTAGTTAATTCTTATCTGTATATTTTTTGCCTTTAAACTGTGAGAGGAAACTTAGATAGTTTCATTTACTATTTAACAAAGAAACAAGGGAAAATGCCAAAAAAAAAAAACCTCTAAAATTTTAAAATCCCAAATTAGGAATGACTATAAAAATGTATTGTTATTTGCTTTTCAAATATTGTCAATTGTTATTAAAGTGTAATAAATAAGACTGACTTAAAAATTATGAAATTCAAAAGTTTTTTTTTTGGATTCTCCCAAAAAACAATGATTGAGATTATCAATATATATAAACATTTATTTAATTTTAATTTAAAATCAATATATTATGCGACTCAAAATAAATATATTATGGATGATGATTTTGATTACTGTTTAATTTAATTTATCTATCTATAGCGCGGTGGGCTTAGGAATCTCTATCAACGAAGAGATTCTTAGAATGAACATTGTGATTAAAAACAGACAAAAACATAAAGGGTGGGATTGATAGGGATGAACATAAAGGACGCGATTTTTTTGAATTTTTTGGAAAATTTAAATTAGATTTTGATATTAAAAAGAACGAACAACTTTAATTTAAATCTTCAATCGCAATTTGCAAAAGTAATGTACTTTAGTTTTTGGGGGAATAACTTCTTTTCATATTATAAATGGAATAGAATAATATGAACTTATTATGCTTAGTAATCCATTTTTATTAGTTTTATTGAGTTTGCATTTTGGTGCAAATATACCAGATTTATTTTGGACATAAAATTTAAGATTCTCTATGTTTTATATCTTATATTCATATTGTGTTAAAAAGTTCTCTTTATATGTCTGTATGTTTTTTATTTTGCAAAATTAATGCAGCTTCGTTCTTTTTAGGTTCTCTCAAAACGTTAGTGGGTCTAGTTTAGAGTCTATAATATTAACAGGTGTAAATTAGGGTTTATAATATGACTTTTAAAAATGGTCGGAGATCAGCCTTACATGAAAAATTTTGCCGACTTGATCATATAAATTAACAATATCAGGGTAAAAGATCTTGCTATTCTATGAATTAAATAAGGCTTTATTAAATAAATAAACAAAAAATTAAATAAAGCCACTTCTATCAGTAAATAGGTGAAATTAACATATCTTTCATTCATAATACACATATACACACCCACATATAGAGAGAGAGAGAGGGAGTGATATAAAGTCAAATCTGATTTGTAATTGACTTCCAATATATTTCATACAAATCAATAAAAACCCTAAACTTTATTAACTCTCATTTCAAATTTATCAACTTTTTAACTTTATCCTTATTTAATATACAATATATATCATAAAAACAAAGTCAACACAATAATAAATAAATGAAGGATAAAGTTGTACTTTCATATGAAAGTTTTCTCTTTCTACCCTGTAAATAGGACAAAAAATTTTCTTCTCTCCCTCCTCTATAAATAGAACCAAAGGAGCATTGATTATTGTAGTGATTAATGATAAGTTGGTTTACATCATTATAATTTTCCTTAAACTGTATAGTTTTGGCGTATAATAATCCTTTTTTCATATATCAAAATTCAAATCAGTTTCTCATTGATTTGCTTTTTTTAAGTTTAAATTATATACACTTAAAACTAAAGGTAATGCCTCGAAAGCAAGTATTATGAATTGGGAAAAATTATGTTTAAAGATAGCTTTTCCAAGATGGTTCAACCTCAATTCGAACATGAATTAATGACGAGTAATATGGGATATTAAATTATTAATTTAAAATTTGCGTATGACATTTATTACATCTTTCATAAGAATTTACTACATTACACACACACACACACACACATGTATCACATCTAGCTGATGCTGATTGAGTTTAGGATTATTTCTTTTTTCACTGTTTACATGTGTCTTCTTATTAAATGTAGTAATATTTGAGAGATAGTTAAATAAATGTAAACATTTTTTATTTTTAACGAGAATTTGAACTTTAATGTTATAAGAAACTAACACGCCCAACCTCCATTAGTAATTGAGTTTAGAATATTAGGTTATTGAGAGAAGGTCTAAAAATTAAAAGTTTCATTTTTCTATCCTGGCAACAATAACAGCAGTAATAAACTAATAATAGTAGTAGGGTTCTTATTCTTATATCCACATGTACACGTACATCCTTTCAGTACATGTTTTGCCTAAGTTCCATGTTTTTCAATAACGTTCATATCAAACAAAATTATTTGTCCAACTTCTACATTAAAGAAATAAAGGAACAAGCATTTAAAAAATTGCAATTACTTCTTTTCATAAATTACGTTATTGTCTCAAAATTTGAGAGCAACAAAATGAAAGCATATCTGAGATTTATTTGTTTGTAACTTTAATTAGTACGTGGTATTACTATTTTGCTAATGCTATAGTGTATATAAATTATTATTTTGGATATAGAATTATCCTTAATTTATAGCTAAACGTGGCCAAACAAACAAACACCCCCCATCTAATCAAAGTTCGAATATCCATTATCTCAAGTAATAAAATTAATGTAAGCTTAATTTAATTTAATTTTTAATAAAATAATTCTAATTTAAAAATAATGATTTGTTCATTAGATTATATATTCTCCATCCAGCTATAACTTTCTTTATTAAAAAAGGAATTAATTTGATCTAGAGAGATCGATGAAGTAATAAAAAAACATTATATATAAAAAGGAGAAGAAAGTGATTTATGACTTGTCTCCTTATAAGAATTGATGCTATATGATCCACAACTTTAATTTATAGGTATATTATGACGAGTGGGATATGTTCACTGCTAATGGAACAAAAGCCACAGTCATTCTTCAGCTATTGACGTTGTGTTTTTATTTGTAAACGAAAATTAAAAAAATTATTATATATTTAAACTTGCAATTTTCAGTTAAAGCATGCATGATAATTAATTATATATTAATTTATTAATATAGGAAGCCACACTTAATTGAAGTTTAAAACAGCAGGTAGTGTAATTCAACTCGGATCTCATATAGATAAATAGGCTGGCCATCCTAATTTTTATGATTATAATAGGAAAATGTGTTTTATTTTGTTTTAAAATTAAAAGATATGCATAGTATCCTAGTTAACTTCTTTTCGGAATAAAGCTATGACAAAGCTTATTTTAGCCTCATATATATTTTAGGAAGATCTTAATTACATTTATTACTTAAGCAATAAGATAGAAAGTGGTATCCAATGTAAAATTCGGGAAAATAAATTAAGAATAAAATATTTGTATAATTTGAAAAAAAAAAGATTTTTATAGCCTGAAAAATAAAAAGATAAATTTGAAAACACACTTTTGGTCTCTTTATGAAAATATCAATCAGGCGTCTCTGGCTTAAAAGCAGACAATGATTTCTGCCTGTACTTTTGTTTAGCTATATCCAATTTCGCTTCTAGCCTAACAATCCTTTCAAAATTAATGTAAAATTTAATTAGTTTTTCTTATTGTCCTGATGAATTAGCCCATTCTTAAGCTGGATGTAAAATTTGATATAAACTAAGAACAAATAAGCATACGTTGATTATTTAAAAAAGAAATAAAAGCCACATCAGATCCTTATAGTTTTTATTAAAAAAGGAAACATATGCAAAGTTGATAGGACCAAAAGAATATTTACATATAAAATAAATAGAAAAATTATTTCATTAGTCTTTATTATCTGATTTTTAATCAGATCCTTATAGTTTTTTTTCCTAAAAAACTTTTATTGGATCCTTGCATCTATATAACCTATCATCTCATTGATTTTGATTTATTACAAAATTAATTTAGGAGCATAGTGAAAGCCACATCATCATATATTAACACCTTATTTCTTTTACAAATTGATAAACTATTATTCCTTCTGGTCCTAAATGTAAGACCAATTTTATAGTATAATTTATACTATAAAATAGTTCTTCATTTAGGATTGGAGGAGTATATAAGGATTTATACCTGTAAGTGGGAAAAATATAACAACCTAATAAAAAGGAAAAACAAACTACAAAAACTTAGCTAAAAATGAGTTGAAATTGAATTTCAGGGATTTGTATATTAATTAATTGTTTTCTAAAAAAATTGAATTACAAGATATATATGTGTCATTTTTATTCAAAATAATATATTATCTTTGGTCTTTAATATAAGACCTTGTTTGACTTTTATTTTGATCCTAAATATAAGATCCCAGTCTACTTTGTCTT